CAAAGAAACTTCCATGAACAGGATTTCTGAATTGATTACATATGAAACATGGTTTGTTCTTCATTTGAATCTCAATTCTAGTCAAAAGACAATGCACTTACATTCATAATATACAGCAAGTTGAACCTTTCATGCATTTACTAAACACACTGAGCTATTAGGACTGCTCAAGAAAGCAATCTGATATTTGCAGCCTTAAACATCCTGGTCTCTTCCTCACAAAGAAGAACTTATTATTGATTAATACTAGTATTGGAAGATACTACAAATCAAGGTATCAGCATATATTATATCTGAGCTGAAAGAGCTGGATCTATGAAATCCTTAATCCTTAAGCAGGAAATTACAGCAGGGATGTACATGAAGAATAATAAGAAACATACAGAAACATATAGAAATCCTGATAATTTTACAAGATGCGCAGGCTTTAAAAAACACCAACAAAAAAAATATCTCCAAAACCCTGGAGACTTGGTTTAGAGCAGGGGTGGGCAATTCCAGGCCCCGAGGGCTGGTGTCCTGCAGGTTTTAGATCTTTAGATCTCTGGGTCAACACACCTGAATCACATGATTAGTTCGTTACCAGGCCTCTGGAGAACTTCAGGACATGTTGAGGAGGTAATTTAGCCATTTAAATCAGCTGTGTTGGTTCAAGGACACATATAAAACCTGCAGGGACACCAGCCCTCGAGGCCTGGAGTTGCCCACCATTGGTTTAGAGGGTACAGTTTAATGCTGGACTGCAGTTTAATGCTGTCAACCTCATGTAACAGCAATTTCTTTGCAGATGCACCGGGCAGTGTACATTCCATTTTCCCAACAAGTGCTGAAATGTCTAAATGCAAAGATGGGGCAATCTTGACCCCAAATGTTTAAAAGGACTTCACATTGCTTAAAGTTATTCTATTGATTAGTTTCTATAATTAACTAAAAAAAACAAAACATATTTAATACAGAGCATGTATACCTTATGAAGAAGAGGAAGGCTGAAGTGGCAGATCCTCAGGCAAAACGCAAGCATCTCCTCCTTGAAGTGCTGAAAGTTGATTTGCTCAATGACTTCATGAATCTTATTCTTTTTCCTGATGAGACCCATGAATGTTGCTCTCTACAGAAAATGTGAGAAACGTGACATTAAAAATATAATGTGTTTGAATATCTTAGCATGCACCATTTTAATTTTTAAATAGTTTTAGGGATGTAATAAAATCAGACCCAACATTGTTTAACATTCATGTGACAGAAAATGAAAACTAGCCAATGCAGTTATTTGATGGTTTTGTTGTAAAGGGGGAGGTTGGCCACTGGAGGGAGCTGGAGCTAAAAAAACAAATGCAGAAAAAGTTGGGGAGGATTCTACAGTGAAATGAGGCTCCACCATCCAAAGATCATTCAGTGATCAGTCAACCACAATCCAGATAATAAAAGAGACACTTATAAGGCATGCAAGCTGAACCAATTGTTTTAATTTGTCTTTTCCACATAATGTCTTCCTGCACCAGCGCTATCATCATATCAGCACACTGATGACTGTAGCTGATGAGGAGATGCAAGATGGGAAAGCAGACTGTCCATTATCCAGTATTTTTATGGCCTAAGCTTGCAAAGCCTAGTAGATCTGAAATGAAATTAACCGTTGTGTCTTTATCTACACTTAAAAGCTATAAAACGATTAGCACAAGCTTCCCATCCTGGTTATTTTGTATTACACAGCATATCAACATCGATATGACAATGCTTATCAATTTTTAAACAAGACTTTACAAAATAACTTATCAGTAGGGATAAAGTTACACACTGACTTTAATGTAAATGTTATTATCGTGTAGTGAAAAAAAGGTTTAGCGAGTAACCTCACCTTTCCAATATTTTTGGGAGGAAAGTGTTTCATCAGCACCTCTTCTGCTTTCTCAAACTTACTGTTTTTGATGAAAATCCCCACAATCTAAAGACAGAAATATATTATTTGCTAAACAGAATATAATTAGAAACCACTGTTTTGATTGCCTTTGTAGACGTATGTAAGAATGTAAAAGCTGAACAAGTGCAGATATTTAAAATGTAAAAACAAAAACAACCCACTTAATTTAGGGAGAAGTTGTCTTTGAATGGAAGTACAATAAAGGAATTCAGCTCAAGAGAAATGCTTACCATATCTTTAAGAGAAGAGGACACCTTTTCATACTCCTGCTGTGGGATACTGAATTCCTGGCTTATTTTTTCCAGTAACATTAAGGCTGATTCCAGAGGAGTTGATGGCACATCCATTTCAAATGAAACACCTGTAGGCAAAGACAAACCAATATTCACTGTTGTGTTTATTCACAATATTCACAGTATGACGAGATGTCAACCTCAAATATGAATTTAGAGAAAGCTGTGAATCAGGCTATTGATTATGACAGAAATCAAACGTAGTTTTGTTATCGTATTCTTGATAATCAAGTATTCTATCAATTGAGTAATAATGGAAAATTACATTTGTCTCTTTAATAAGCAATTTTAAAAATATTAAATATTAAAATGAGAAAAAAACAGGTCTTTTAAAATAAACTGCTCATTGGATTCTCTTTTAGAAACGATTTTTTTTGTTTAAAAACCGGAGCAGCTTGAGCGTAATGTTTTTAACACACCCATGCTCTTAGATATGTTTCTGCTACGTTGTCTGTTTTTAGTTGCAAATGTGAGTGACGCCGTGACAACTGAGCGCTACAGAAGCAGTCCTAGTATTGATATGTCACCAGATGTCCTTTATATACCATGTATACACTCACTGGACATCACTGGACTATTAGGTACAATAATACCAATAAGTTTCAAAAGCTTCTTAATAGAAATTTCTAAAATCCCACTGCAGCAGCTGTAGCGCATTTAGGGATTTGGATATGGTAAAGACTACTTGTGGAATTCAAACAGAGCATCAGAATAAGAATTTCAGTGACTTTAAACATGGCATGTTTGTGGTGCCAGACAGGCTGGTCTGTGCATTTAAGATGTACTGGGATTTTCTCTAACAATCATCTCTAGGGTTTACAGAGAATGGTCAGATAAAGAGAAAACATCCAGTGAGCAGCAGTTCGCTGAATAAAAATTGTCGTGTTGATGGGAGAAGTCAGAGGAGAATAGTGAGACTATTTTGAGTTGACTCATTCACTCAAAATGGAAAATTCTGCCTGGTCTGGTGAGTCTTGATCTCCGCTGTGACTTTAGCATGTTAGTCCCCAATTCTGTTGTTAGTTGATTCTGTTCATCTGGACGCAGCGTTTTCAGTGGGAGAAACGTTTTGTCAGTCATCCAAGTGACTCCTTCAGTCTCAGCTGACTGCAGGTTTCCCCAATCTTATAAACAGTACATATGCATAATGACTGAAACTAGCACCACCTCAAGTAGTGAAATAAGTTTGACATTTCCACCTTGGTGTTTTACAAACTACTTTTCCTTTGTTGGAAGTTGGGATCTAAAAAGGGAGCTGCTTCACTAAATCATTGGAAGCTGACAGGTGGTTCCTGCTCTGAGACATGCCTCGGCTTTTCTCGTTGTTGTCCACACTAGGGAACATCAAGGCATGGCGTTGCTACAACAGTGACATTGTGATATGATACTTTTATGATATCAGAATATTACATAAAAATGTGTACTGGTATTTAAATAGACATCAATGGATATCATGTCAATATGGACCAAGGAAGGAAAATTATGTGACACAAATAACTGAGGCAGCTCTGAAAGCAAAAGGTGATCAATCCCAGTATAGGCAAGGTGTAACTAATTAAGTAGCCAGTGAGTGTGTAGTCAGACTCTAATCACAAGCTTTTATTATTTATATTGGCCTCTAAATGTAAATGTGTCTAACTGTGGCATAACTGTGGTACAATGTATTGCAGATTAGTTACATACCCTTTTTTAATCATTTGACAGGTAAGTTATTACATTTTTGCAAATGATTTATTTTGATGCACAGAGCTGTACACTGATGTCGCTTAAAGAACCACAGTAATACTCAGATGTGCCGATCTTGTCGATTAATGTTGAACTCACCAAGGTTTTCACCCTCATTTATCCGGGAGATAAACTGCAACACTCGAAATTTCATTGCGATGTCATCCGTGGACTCCAAAGGGCGCGCCATAATACCTGCAATAAAACAATAAAGAAGCTTCTTATTTCCCCCAAACACACAGAAATTAATAACACAAAATAGCCTAAGTAACTGGCAATAATAGCTGGCAATATGCCCACTTTTTTAACGTCTACTGAGGTGTCTCAAATTGAAGGAATACATAACCGATTTTACTGACTGGCTACAAATAACATTTTCAGGTAATGTCAGAATCATGTTTGTCAGCATTAGAAGCACAGCTACATAAACACTTGGCATTATGACAGTCCTGTTGATACTCCATTATCATGTCACCTGGAGAGAAGTCTATGCCCTAGAAACAAGTTCAATAAATAAATAAATAATTTAAAAAAACAAACCAAAAATAAGGCGTATGGAGGTTGTATTTAAGAAAAAGATGTCTTTTGTATGGTAATAAAACTATAAATATGTCATTAAAATCACCTTGATTTTTTTCTTAAAAAGACACATTTTAGTATGTTGAAAAACCACTACGTGAACGTACATACATGTAAACAGAACTGAAATTGTTCCTTGTGTATATAAAAGATCAAAACAAATAAATAAGAGCAGCCTCGCTCGACATAACAAGACGATGAGTCCGCTTACTCTCACAACAACACGATTCATGAAATTTCCCCCGTTTATTCATTTATTTTCTGTCAGCTGACGCCTGGAAAGTTTAAGAGCATGTATTATCGTAACCAAGATAGAAGACAACTTATAAAGGAGCACTAATATTTAAGTCCGCTAACTTGTATTAAGTTTGGTACGAAGTTAGGCAGTTCTGGTAGTACTATAGCTGGTTACGAGCTAGCCAAACTAGTCAAAAACACTGTTTATACTTACAGTCGAGTATATCTATAATGGCACAGAAATCCTCGTATTGTTCATTTTTAAAGAACTCTACCGCCAAAAAGAAGTAATAATCCACTAGCCAGCCGTTCACGACAGATTCAACGCTCACTTGGTAACTGTTTACAGTCTCCTTTGCCGCCATATTCACGTCAAGTTAGACGGTAAAGCAGGAAAGCATTTAGGATGAAGGCGGGGAAAATTTGAAGGCTGGCCGAAAGGCAAACCGGGGCATTTTATTCTCCGAATTTAGTTTTTCAGGCAGCACTTAAGTCATTCCAGTTGTATAAAACCACAAGAGAAACTCATCCAAGGCAATAAATATCCCAAAATAACGTTTAAAAATCGGTGAAACTACAACCATGACTGCCAGTCCAATATCAAAAATACAAAATTGAATTAAGACTTTAAAAAAAGAGTTCTGCCTGAAAGTCAAAATTCAGCTTACAAAACACAAGCGCTTCTTCTCTGAGCCGACGTTGCACTAGCAGGATAGCACTATGCTGCCACCCAGCGGACTGGAAGAAGCAGCGCTGTTCTTTTCAAATGTTTTTTACTGCATTACTTGTACCTTGCAAGCATTTTTGCTCCATCGCTGCCAACTCAGCACACCTGTACGTTGCTGTAATACTTGCATTACAACAATACTAAAAGTTTGGTGTTCCCCTATTGAAATAATTGCTCTCATTTACATTTTTGTGCATGTCTGTTTCTGGGGAGGGATTCTGAATGAAGCTCAACTGAACTTTGAAGACTTTAAATGCTTAATTATGTAATTACAGTGTGTATTTTTTTGCTGCTGATTTGCTTAGTAGATCTAGAGTTAGTGATGATGCGTGGGGTCAACCTTTTTGTACAGTGTAGGCAGTACCAGATGGATGGAAATAAGTGGCAGTATTTATTTCTGACAGAAGGAAAGGAGGAAGAGCGAAAGGGAAGGTTTTAGAAGCTATGGTGTATGGTTTGGAGATGGTGGCACTAACAACAAGACAGGAGGTGGCAGAGTTAGAGATTTTAAGGTTTTTGTTGATCGTAACTGGCATGCACAGGAAAAGAAATTAATATATCAGAGGGATGGCTCAGGCTGAGCATGAAGGAGACAAAGTTAGAGAAGCACGTCTGAGATGTTCTGGACATGCACAGTGGAGAGATTGTGGAATATATTGGACAAAGTATGCTGAATCCAGAGCTGCCAGACAGGAAGAAACGAGGAAGACCACATAGAAGGTTCAAGGAGGTAATAATGAAGGCCATGCAGAGGGTTCGTGTGACAGAGGAGGAAACGAGGGGTAGGGTGAGACGGAGCAACCCCTAAAGGAAGCAACTGAAAGATGATTTGCACACTGCATCTGCATCACAAAGGACTTAATATACATATACTCCATAATGTATGATGAAAATCAAAATCCACTCCAAATTCTGCCCAACCTCACACTTGCTGAACTGCTTTAAGCAAATCAGGAGCACGTGAGCATGAGTATGACAGGCAATTAATCCGAGTGCATAGCTTTAAATTAATCAAGTTTATTATGTAAAAGTATGACATTAACAATATAAGACATCATAAGATTATGACACCATTAAAAAAACTTGAATAAAACATTCCATTTATATATTGTTAATAGTAACCTTTATACTTTGCTTGTAAAGCTGAAGGACTTTTGTTCTTGAAGAAACATTCTCTCAGGAGTGTAGGACACAAAACTTTCACAACTGTTCATGGTGATATTAACGGTAAATCTGTGATCAAACACCCATCCTGTTAAGAACCATTACGACACAACACAAAATTCTCTCTATCCTTTATATTCTGCAGGACTCTGCTTCAACTGCCAACTACTGTGAGGAGAAAAAAAAAAGCATTGACAGAATAGTGTTGTATTGGTTTAAGCATCTTTGCATGTTGTTCAACATTCATCTTCCTGTGGTGATTGTAGCTTTTTAAAGTCATACAGCAGAAAGCAGAGATTATCAGTGTAGTCCTTCAGCATTCATCGAGTCTGTTACCAAATATGAAAAAGACATGAGACAGTTTAAGAGTTCGGTCATGGAGCAGGACATCCTATTGTCAAATACTTGACCATATCAATCTTGCCCAAATGATACCAATCAAATTCAAATGCTTTGACACAGCAATATCTGCAATTACTTTTGTTTTTGTACCCACAACAACTACAACTTACAGTTCAGCACTGCATTAGAACTGTTATTTCTTTTGATATTTGCCTTTTATCTAATGACATAATAGTTTATTGGACTCGTCATCATTTCCTGCAACACATTTATTCAGCTGCTGCATGATTAGCAACATATATGCGTGCAAAACTAAACAATGGGAATTTTAGTATTATTTTCTGGCAAATTTTAAACTTCTTTCAGTTATAAAAATTTTCATTTTCTACTTTCTATGAAGCTTAACTTTTAACAGTTTTTAGTTTTTAGCATGTTAGGGACTTGTTGAATGTTCTATGATCTATATATAGTGAAAGTAAAGCAATGTTTAAATAGGAAATATATGAAATCCAGCAGAATACAAATGAGAAATGAGGCCAGCATTAAAATAATCCCCTGATATTAATTAGCTTTCAGTGCTGTGACCCTTCTGATGACAGTGCTGTCAAATACCATTCTAATGACAGCATGTTTTTCAAAACATTACAGCCATAGAGCATCAGATATTATTTATTGTAAACAGTGGGCACAGTTCCTTTTCTTAACGACCACAGATGAAAACAAACAGCAGTAATATTGTTCAGCAAGCAAATAAAGACTTTAAGAGTCTAGACTTGACAATACTTTGATAATACCAGCCTGTGCATCTGGACTTGACTGTAAACTGCAGATTCGAAAAGCCACATTCATCCGGTGCCAACAAACTCGTTAGTTAGGCAGAGTGAAGTTAGGAGAGTGGCAGCCACAAAATTGACATTTTCAAAAATCACAATATCTTTCAATCTCAAAAATTCAATTGATTTGATGTTTCAAAGGCATGGCAAAGTGTTCTAATAACACTGGGAAAGTGTCTGCTGCTGTCCTGCCACTAGATGGTACATGCCTGAAACTTTTGCAGTAATAGGAAAAAAAGCCTCACAAGCCTCTGCTGAGCTCCCCGAGACCGTATTAAAGCTCGTATAGTGAGCCTGGTACCTCAGTCTTTTTCAGCAAAGCACTCTTTTTAAATCTACAAGCTGACTTCACAATGGAGCTTTGCACAGTCGATCAGAATGTGAAAACAATGACCCAAAGGAGGTTGTGCTAACGTTTCAAACCTTCCTTTTCAACTCATTGTTACACACGGTGGCCAAGGAGCATGTAAAGTGACCATGTCTGAGACTCGGCTCTGTCTTGAGGGCTTATAACGTTGTTTTTTAAGGGTTTAAAATGCTATGAAGACTTTTCCGATAACTTTTGTATATAGTAAAATTCCTACTACACAGAAGTTCCCTCTGATTTCCCACACAGAGGTTAAAAACAAAACAAAACATGAAAGTATTAAACAACGCAAACTTAGTAACATTTAGTCTTCGGCCTAATTCACTTCATCATGAAAGCACAGCCATCAGTTGTCCTGTTGTTTAACTGATTGCAGAGATAAGGAGATGTTGATCAGCATGTAGGAGTGATGGAAATGGATACACATACACAATTATTACAAAATGTTTTGTCCAAATGAAGACTAGCAGTAGTCGTCTCCTGTGAGTCATGGTCATCTGCTGAGGTGTGCACATGGTGATAAAGCTTCACCAATAAATTTCTTTTAGCTCGAGTAACCTAAACAACTTTATCCCGAGGACCCCCCCGACCCCCCCGAAAACAAAAAACCCCCAAAAAACAACAGAGATGAAGAGATAGAAAAAGAGAGCATTGTGTTCATGGTAGCTTGTTAAGATGATTAAAGCCTCATTTCCAGACTAAGATGCTGAATGAAGCCTTATACATGCAGCACAGTTCAAACTCTAATGACCACTGTGCTCCATAACCAAGCTTTTTCCTCAAGTGTCATGTAAGTAGTGCATGTCCTTGACTGTGAATCCCCTGTCAGTGGTTCTCTTGTCTGGGCCAAAAGAAAAATAATTCAAGCACTTTCCATTTCGACCCACTTGTGTAGCTCCAGTGATGATGAAAGACGTTGTTGATCCATCCCTCAAAAAAAAAAAAAACATTCAAAGACTTTTCTCCAATCTCATGTGGACAGCAAACAAAACATACTCAAGTTGTGTCCCAAGGTGCATTAGTTGAGTTCAAACAGCATCTTGGATGGTGGGGAATAAAAAGACTCACTTGAGTTACGTACTGCATGCGTTACCAAACAACACAAACCACATAGCTCCTCATTTTGCCCACCCTGCAAAGAAAAATCCAGTTGTTCATCTGATTTGTGCAAAGCAATATCACATGTGTTGGATCCACATCAGCATGTGATAGACAACACAGACTCTCAGTAGTGATTGTGATACACTTGGGTCCCATTACTGCAGAATGTTTTGTCACCTACTCAGGAAAGACGCCGCCGGAGGTTCATGGTAGCTCCAGTCGAAGAGGGCATAGAAGAAATCCTTTTTTTCCACCACACCAGACACGGTGAGGTGTCGGTGAGTTGCATCAGTCTGCAGTCTTCTCAGACAGAAAACTCAGACCCACCACGGCGACCGTGGGTCAACAGCATTAGGCGCCGCAGACGCAGGCCTGTGAACGGATTGCACCACAGCAAAGATGGCGAACCCCCAAATACAGCTTTCATGCCATCCCATCTCATGCGACGCTCCCAAGTGGGTTTCTCGTTTTTAAGACGTTCAATTTCCTGCAACACATTTGAACCCACCAGAAAGGAAAGATCCTCAATAAGTTGTCCATTTCCTTTCACATTAGCATGCTAACACAAACATTTATGCAGAGAACTAGAACAAAAGTCATTGCATATTAATTATACTACTATAGCTAAAGAAATTTAATGTACGCCTGAACAATGTCTCAGTTGATTATTTTATAAATAATATATCACTGCTATCTCGGTACACAACTTTTAGGTGAATTTCCTGTGACTTTTACAGATTAAAATTAATGAATGATCATGATTACCAATGAGATGACATTGCTGAGGCAGGAATATGACACCGTAACAACTTGATAAAATTAGTCTAATTAGTCTTTGACTTCTTTCTTCGATTCATGCACATTTAATCCCTCCGCTGCTGAAAGGAACAAAGCTTGCATGGCGCAGTAGATACTGACCGTCTCGTCATTGCAGATGGAGTGGATCTGCGTACCAAACATTACAGCTGTGAA